GTAGTACTAATCACATATCTGCATTTCCCATAAATATGCTAAATTCCTCGTGATATGCAAATAATTTGTCAAGACGCTCTTCGCCCCTCCATCCCAGCATAAATAGTCGCTCCAAGCCTGGAGCGTGCCATTCAGACTCTGTTTACATGACAGACCTGTTCTCCACCTGAAGACGGCTGCTTGCGTTGTGGCCGAAACGTTGTGAGAATTATTTCATTGTTTTATTTTTATTATTTTATTATTCCCTTCTACGTGACTTTACCGAAAGAACCAAGAAGATAGTATTAAAGTGTAATGTTTAATACAATGTATAAGGTAATATGTAGTATCGTAATTGTATAGTGAATATACAGCAGTATACAGTTGGGTGGGTACAGAGGCGTAGCTAGGATATTTTGCGCCCGCGGACCAACTATAAAATTGCCGCCCCCCCCCCCCCCGTTTAATCACATTTTCCTATTACATCGAATAAGGAATAACAATTAAAATTTTAATGAAACATTGTATTTAAAGAAGCTAATTTATAGAAATTATATTACATGGCTCACTCAGTCACTGTCGTAGACTGGTTGACATAGTCTACAAAAGATAATTTTTTCTTGATTTCACTGTCGCAAACTGGTCAATCACGTAATCAAAATCTGTTTTTTCCAATGTTTCTCTTTCAACGCTAAGAAGAGCAAGATCGCTGAGACGATCTTGTCCGTTTGAAGCACGCAAATACGACAAAATAAGTTTCAATTTGCTGAACGACCGCTCACAGCTTGCAATTGAAACTGCTATTGTTAATACAATTTGCAGTGAATTTCGCAAATTCGGAAATATGTCGTCTCCATAAAACACAATAAAACCAAGAAGATCCAAAGGAGTTTCTGGTAGAACTTCATTCCGGTTACTGAGCAGCATTTTGCAATCTCCAATTTCTGTGAAAAGTTCGTGGCCATTGATGTCGGTGTCATAGAAATTTCCAAAATTTGTGCAATTTCCAGCAGAAATCCAAATTTTGTGTTCAAGTGTTTTAGTCGTAAAAACCGTGTTGACATCTCCTGATGAAGTCGATAAAATACGCTCTTCATAACGCGCACAATTTCTTCTTCTGCTGAAAGTCCTGCATCTCTTGCCAGTTCTCCTGGCATCTTCCGACGTCACCTAATTCTTCTGTCCACATCGATCCCCCAGGCTTTCTACAGAAACTTGGCTCAAATCATCACGCAGCTTGACAAATTCATGCTCCAAAGATTCAAGATCAGTTGCTGCTTCCTTGAAATTCATAGTAGGATCCTGTAGGCGCTTCTGAACACGATCAATTTTCCCAAGAATGACATTCCAGAAATGTAATAAAACTATGAAGTTAAAATTTAATACGCATGCCTGTAACTGTTCTGCATCACTTCTGGTTTCAGGCATCATAGTTACGTCCTCCGATAATTTGTCTAGCAACCCTACTAGTTCATCCAGTCCTTCATAGATAGCTTTAACAGCTTCTGATCGTGCACTCCAGCTAGGGGTCGGCACGGTTTGAACCGACTCAAACTGGTTTCAAATTGAGCAAACCAAACGAAACCAAACCAGCGACGACTGAACCAAACCAAACCAAAACCAAACCAAACTAAGCTAAACCAAACCTCTTGAGTTGGCTTGAACCGAAAAGATGCGCGGCAAACAATATTCGCATTCAATACAAATATCAAGTGTATTAATCGCTAATTTCTACGCAGGCTTTCTTCATATTGAGATTCACTAGCAAGTACTGGACGACGATGTCGTCCACAGCCATCTCCTCAAGCTTGGCACGCCCAATGTCCTTGAACGCAGTGTGGTAGTTCAATGGCAGTGAAACCCCAACACTAGGCAACATCCGCGCTCACGAGCGCACACACATCTCGGCCTTGAACGTGCACTTGTGCAGGTTTGGTCGGTCGAGAAAGGAGCGCTTGGCGGCCGAGTTTGCTCTCTCGGAGGGCACAGACGATGCCGGGATAGGCAAATAGTCGAGGGCCACGCGTCGTAGGCGCGGGTACTTGCCGCCGTACAGCTTCCACCACTCGACGACGTCCATGCTCAGGTCCTGAGTCGGCTCAAGCAGGAAGCGGTCGACCTCGGAGGCGGCGCCGTCGTGAGCGTTGGGCGCGTAGACCATGTCAAAGAGGATGTTAATGCCGCCACGCGGCGACGCCTTCGGCGCCGCGTCCGTCGTCAATGCTGGGTAGCGCTGGTTGAGAATGTCCGTCATCATGTCCTTGATATTGCTGTACTCGGCCTTTACAACCAACCAAACTAGTTTGAGCCGGTTCCACCCTGTCCGAGCCAAACCGAGTCGGTTTTCGTAGCCCCAAACCAAACCGAACCAGTTTAAACAGAGCCAAACCAAACCGATTTGGTTCGGTTCAAACCGCGGTTTGGTGGTTTGAGCCAAACCGTGCCGACCCCTAACTCCAGCGTGTTTCAGACTCCCGCTTTACTGTGATGGGCACAGCTTTTTTTTAACTCTTCCCAACGAATTGTTGAACGAGAGAAAAACAAATATACTTTCAACTGTTCCAAAAAATGTGACGATAAGTGGATCCTGTTTAGCTGAGTGTACTCCTGCTAAGTTTAAGCTGTGGTTGTCACAGTTGACAAACAATGCTCTGTGATTGTTGTCACATATTCGTTGTTGAAGGCCAGATATATGCCCAGTCATCACAGCAGCATTGTCATAGCACTGTGCCCGACAGTCGGCTAGAGGTATGTTGTCAGATTTCAGTCTCTCGACGATGACTCTTTCTTGGCTTGCTGCATCTTTTGCATGTATCTCGATATAACCTAAACATGATTCTTTGATAGTTACTTTTTTAGTTTGAAAATCCACATCCACAAATCTTATGACCTGAGAAAGCTGTTCCCGATGTCCTAGATCAGGAGTTGAGTCAAGTAAGATACCGTAGTACTTGTTTTTCCTGATATCACTCAACAATTGGTTCTTTACAGTCGACGCAAGTATGTGGATAAATTCATTCTGGATTTCCGGTGACAAATAAGAAACTGATCCCGGATTTTCTCCTGCGTGCTGTACGTGTTTTGCTAACAATGGGTCATACTGAGCAACGAGTTTGATCAGCGCGAGAAAGTTTCCAACATTTTTATCCTCATCCGCATTAAAATTTTCCTCATGGCCACGTAGTGCCAAATTTTGTGAAACCAGAAACTTAATACAGGTGAGTATTCAAATATAAGGTACGAGCGACGTACACGTATAAGTGAGCCTTGTAGTAAATGCTGCTAAATGAAGGCCACGCTATGTTGACGTGCGTGGGCTGCTCCGGCTGCTGCAGCCACCTGGAGCGTGGTGTCACTAATAAGAACTCAAAACAGGCCGTCGTAGTTTCCGCCACCAAAAAACAGGCCAGTGACTAAGGCTGAACGACTGCGCCTGTCTGTTGTTTGGGACGTTCCCAAACACCTCCTACGCATTTCACAAGTAGCACTAGTCGCATTCCTGCATTTCCCATAAATATGCTAAATTCCTCTTGATATGCAGATTATTTTGTCAAGGCGCATTTTCCCCCCCCTTCCAAACCAGCTTAAATAGATGCTCCAAGCGTCGTGGTGTTCATTTAGACGCTGTCGCCTCGACGACCTGGTCTTCACCTGAGGACAGCTGCTTGTGTTGTGGCCGAAACGTCGTGAGAATTATTTTATAATGTTTTATTTTTATTATTTTATTACTTCCCTTCTACGTGACTTTACCGAAAGAACCAAGAAGATGAATCCCTGCAGTCACGAAAGCTTTAAATCGAGAGTTATGACATGTCACGCGTGTAAAATATTTTTGGAATAGCCCGCACCTCCATATACCCCAAAGAATCTTGTTGTTTGTAAAAAGTGGTATACTGCGTGGGTTATATGCGGGAAAATACGGTATATGCCTTCGACCATAATTAGAATTTACATTACTTAATCGCAATCTTATATATAATATATAATGTAAATTTAAATAGTATATGCAAATGTACCTCTAAATGCCACCATTTATACTGGCAAATAAGTGAGTTGAACACACGTAACTTAACTGGCCAATTAGAGAATGAACGTATAACCCAAATGCAATCTTTAATTAATGCTTCAGATCCACTCACAACTACACACTGCAGTAAATAAAACATGGATTTCCATGGCTCATGATATCACTCATCGTGGGTAAAGCACTGTGCCTGCTTTCAGTGAATTAACAAAATGATTAGGGTGGTGAACATGTTAGCACATTGGCTAGAGTGACTGTGCTTAGTTGTAAGTGATTCATCATTAGTTATCCTGCAGCACATAAATAAACCACATGTGGCTCCCCCTGTAAGTAACAGCACGAGAAAACACGTGTTCCTCCTCTACCCCAAGCAAGTCTAAACATCCGTCCAACACCCTACAACTGTGGCGTTACTGGGAACCTCGGAGGTGAAGAGATATCAAGATGAAACCAACAGTTCAGAGGCCAAAACTGGACAGAAGCAGCTAAGCAAAAGAAGGAATGGAAGACACTGGTGAGAGAACTTGGCGGAGCAGTGGAATGTATGTATGTTGAACTTCTTTTATACTGTACGTAGCCAACCATGCTAATCGGAGGTCCAGTGGAAGGACAACAAACTAAACACGAAATGAAATTAGTTTTCAACTTATATTTAAAAGTTCACAGCTCCAGTGGTTTCCTCATATCGTTAAGAGCGTTCCAGATGGCCTCAGAAGCGTATCTGAAAGTGCACGATGCAGTGACTCTTTGTTCGATGGATATACAAAAGCCACTGAGGTAGACCGGAGTTTGTGTGATGGTTTATGCTCCTTGACGAGATCAGCAAGGCATGTAGTTCATTTGTGGAAAGCACTTTGTAATGAGCAGAACCTTATCATTTATTTGTTCAGCAGCGGGAAGCCAATGCAGTTCAGCGAGCACCGGATGGACACAGTCGGATCTTGACATTACAGGTGGCTCACAACAATAAAAGTAAAGCTATGGGAGGTGTAAGCACCTGGTAGAGATTGCCACATCCACTCGCCATCGGCAGCTCTCCAGCTGCGGCAAACTCCTCTGCGGCTGCAGCGATGCGGCATCCAGGGCCTCTCGCCTGGATCAACACAGGTGGCACAGTTGGTACATTCCTATTCCATCATTTCCATGATAGCTAGCATGTTGCTACGCACTCCGCATAGCATTTCACATGCAGCAAATGATAAACGACGTCGAAGCTTTTAAGATTGACGTCGAAGCTGCTTGGTTTATAGTTTAAAGGTTTTGAAATTGACTCAACAAATAGTTTTAAGCAGCCAATATGATTAATAATTAAATAATGTTGCAGCTTGTATGGCGCCTTTCGTAAAATCTCGAGGGTCTTCAATTCACATTTAGCTTAGGCTACGTAAAAATGGGCAAGGTCACGTGAAGATGTTTGTGCAGATCATTAATATTTTTTGCAATGTTGGTGATGAACGGTCCTGACATGCGTGCCACTACAATGCCTTTACATCTGCATATCTACCCCACGTATCGCAAACTCCTGAGGGCAAATTACGTCTGCACCACTTTAACGTAATTTTTCTATTCTAAAATTAAAAGTTGATTACCCTATTCTTCAATGAACTCAACAGCACTATACTTATACGTACAGAAACATAAGATGCTTTATAGCTGCTTCGTTAAAAGCAAAGCTCTCATACCCACACTGTAACGCACTCCTGTTGCCTTAAACACCCATATGTTAACACTAAAATATGGCCACTTGCTTTGTTGACGACTCTGCGTAACATAAACCATATTGCGTAACGTAAGACGTGAAAAAGATACCAAAACGGCGACGTTAGATAAACTTAACGGTTCATCCGAATCAAGATGCGATACCATAAAGTGCCAAGCTAAACATGTCACATTTGGTGTCCCCTTTTACAAGTGATCTGCTTACAAACTGGTAAAAGTGTAGAGACAGTGCGGGTGTAGAGACAGTGCGGGTGTAGAGACAGTGCGTGCGTGTGTGGAGACAGTGCGTGTGCAAGAACAGTACGTGGCCCAGTGGTCATGAGGGGTAATCACGGAAGGGAATCATCTGGGAATTTTGGGAATGGGCTAGAAAGTTCGAGAAAGGGCACATGGCCGGGGGCGGAGTGAGGGCCACGCCGGGAATAAAAGGAGGCGAGAGGATCAGGGTCGACTGTCTTCATGCCATCACTCTCTTCGGGCCGTCGCTATCTTCGTGTCGTTGCTACTTGCGTGCCATCCCTGACCAACGTTACCTGTGCGTTATCCCTGGCCCAAGTGATCTGTGCGTTATCCCTGTCCAACTTCAAGTTATCTGCGTGAAGTGCCTAAATAATAAATAAATAAACCTCTATAGTTACAATTGTCCGAGTCACTGCAAAAGAATATCAAATTTCAATTTAAAGCTTTCGGGACAGCAGGGATTCATATTCTTGGATCTTTCGGTAAAGTCACGTAGAAGGGAAATAATAAAATAATATAAATAAAACAATAAAATTCTCACGACGTTTTGACCACAACACAAGCAGCTGCCCTTCTACGTGACTTGACCGAAAGATCCAAGAATATAAAAGCATATCAGTAACGGCATTAGCATTCAATGAGGTGTTGGTAAGTCTGGCCAGTGATTTAATTTAGGTGGTACGGTAACAATATATTATTGCAGTTGTCATCTCACGCAAGACCCAGCATATAATTACTGTTCCCATACTGCTTTAACACGTAGGTGTTCGCGACCAATATCATCCATACAGCCAACTAGTACATTTACAATGTAAATGGCTTGGCTCTCCAACACCGGTGTGCTGTACTAGTGACGAATTGGCATGTTCTGTTTACGTGACAACCCTTACTAGTTGGCTGTGTCGGGTGGTGGCAGGTTTTAACGACATATATATTTACGCGACCTAACCCAAAAAAAATATTTTATTTATGTTACCATACTGTTTGGAAAAGGTAATTTTGACACGTAATTTTTTTTAAAAATATGCTATAAAAAAGATGCGTAAAAAATAAGATTTCTTTCAAGTAGTAATGAAAACCACAACGTTTGAACAAAGCTTGAAGTTTCTGGTCCACAACCACAACATAATTGAGTACTACAATATTTTTGCAGGACCTTGGCAAATAGTTAAGTGTTGAAAATTACGATTGTAGGCATAACCTACAATCGTAATACTTACACATCACCATTTGTACAGAGCATGCAGAGTATACAATCTGCACTGTGTTATGTGGCATCCAACAATGTGGGCAGTGCCGTGTGATGTGAGCCACGTTACGTAACACGCACCATTGGACACATGGTCCAAGTGACATAACTGCCCTGATTTACATTTAATGGCTTTTGCAAAACATAGCACAGAAATCAGACTGGTTATGGGTAGGCCTTGTTGTGCATCTCCTAAAAAAGTATGTTTTCGAGCCACGTAAACGAGGTGTCTTTTTAAGTCTCTAATTGCACTCACTTTTTCCCATAAAGGACATTCACAAACTCGGCCACGTGTTTTTCAGGTATCCTGAAATCATTAAACAACACAGAAACAGAAGATTGTGTTAATCTACATGCAACCTGAAACAAAACATTTCAAATGAATGTGGCAATAATTATAAAATATCTTGTTTTCTAATTTAATAGTTGAGTTTTTAACTCGGGAAATCCACAATTTTGAATGGGCCAAAAGGCTTTTCGGCCGATTCTTGTGTCCAAGGAATAACAACCCATACGTAACATGGATTCTCATGTGCAATTAATATCAGTATCAGCCTAAAATCCAAATGGCCATGCAACAAATCCAATTTACAATTTGGTAATGGAAATTCATTAGCAAATATGCAATATTTACAATCACTCAAAGTATTTGAACAATGAGAAAAATACAAAATATCAAGTCCAAATCAAGCAAAATGCCATCCAACCTCGAATAGTGAAAATGCCACCCAACCTCGAATAGTGAGTCACCACAGTCATCTCATACTGCTTAGTCTCATCTTAATTTGGTTCAATCTTTCCCCAGCTAAACATGACTAAATCCCTCCTCTCCAAACGGCCCAATGCACCAACACAAGACTTCACACCCACACTGGCAAATTAGACCACACCACCCCCCAATCCTCCGCCACTGGGTCCTGATGCACTCCTGAGTAAAATAAAATGTTCTTAAAAATCTTCAAAGTTTTCAAGGAACTGGCCCCTTCATATCTCCTCCCTATCATCTACTGTCCATTATGTGCTCTTCGCAACAGTAACAAAGCTGTTTTTCTCTCGAAAACCTCTGTCAGCTGCTGCTTGACTTCTGTCTATGCAGTCTGGAATTCGCACCTCCTGGCCAACTATGCTGCCAACTGTGCTGCGACCCCCCCCCCACTTACTGGGCTAAACACTCTCTGCCCTTCCTGCACGACTGCATACACACTCATTATACACACACTCATTAACAAGACATCGGCAACAAAGATAAGCAGATAATGAGGCAATCGCACTGACATCCCAAATTTCATGGACATCTACATGGAAGTGAGGCGGTCGAACTACAGTCCTGTGCTTCATGAAGTGGCTTATTTGTGTATTATGAATCAGCAGCGTAATAGCATGCTGTAATAAAGAAATATGGTAATACAACATAGATCGTACAATACAAGGTCCTTGATAATCGTATTGTCCTCTGAGCAAAATATTGTTATATCAAAATTATCTGTGGCAATTTTACGTTCTTTCAAATTTTATTTAACGACAGCATATTCAGGAAATAACGCAAGTGCACAAAAACAATTCATGATGTTTTTTGCCTTGTAAAAAGTACTCAGGAGTAATTAATGGCCTTCCAGTAATGACAGCACATTTTCTGTTGGCATATTCAATTTCACAACAGATTGTCATTTTCAATAATTAGAAGACATGACAGGATGAATGAGTGAAACACAGTTGAAGAACTGTAACGATTTGGAATAGTAGGTTTATGAGGAGTGTGATTCCTTGGGGAGAGACGTAACACACCAGGCGGGTCGTTTTGACACTTTTATCGATGATACTCTTTGGGTCTTTCGGTAAAGTCACGTAGATAGGTTCAAAGAAAATAACAAAAAATCTACGGCGTTTCGATCGCAACACAAGCGGTCGTCATCAGGAAAAGGGGGTTAGCTTCTAAAGGCAAACTGTGTATAAAGGTTTAAAATAGGCATAGCCCAAATGTCAGCAGCATGGGCGGGGCAGCTAATGTTAATGTAAGTGGTGGGCGGTGACCGCGACGGTGGTGGGTTTTCCACCAATTGAAGGGCTGCCAGGTAAAAATTAGCATGTTAATGTAAGATCGGTGAGCGGCCTCCACGGCCAGCACGCTGAGGTGGCTATGTTAATGTGCGAGATTAGCATGTTAATGGAAGATCACAGAGCCATAAGCTCTAGGTCGGTGCGGGAAGGTGAGCGTGTGTGAGAAATTTAACCTGTTAATGTAAAATCGGAAAGCCGAAAATACCAACTAACATTCGAAGGTGGTAGGATGGGAACATCACAGCCACTTATGCCTTAAACTGGTTGATAACGTCTTTCCAATGATTGCTCAGTTTGTACCCATCTTCTCGGTTGAAATTGTGTCTGTGTCTGTATATATGGATGGCTTCATGAACAAATCTTTGTTTATAGCCAGTGGGGTTGCAAAGTACCTTCGTCATAGAGAAATACATTTCGTGTGAGCCCACCACATGAAAACAATGATCAGCGACGGCCGAGGTATTGGTCCTACCATGTTTCAGATCTGCCTTATGTTCCACCAACACGGTCTGAGACATGTCGCTTAGTTTCCCCAATTTAGCTATTGCCGCAGACACAGCTTAGTTTGTAGATGCCGGGGTATTGCATGTCAGGGATCACATCCTTCACAGATGGGATCAGATCACGAATTTTATGTACTCTGTTAAATCGGACCTGGATATTGTGGTTGCTCATGATTTTGGAAATCTTTTTGGTAACCCCTGCTATGTATGGCAAGGTGATGGTTTTGATTGGGTCCTCAGATAGTTATTTCCCAAGGGTTGGGGTAATAGTTTTATGGATTGTGTAGTCTAAATATCCATTCATCTTGAAAGCTTGGTGTACATGTTTCAATTCACTGGCTATATGATGATGGTCGGAAATACATCGAGCTCTACGAGTTTTGGTGAGGGAGTTTTTCTGGGATGGATGGTGGTGGGAGTCAGGTTATAAATAGGCATCCATATGAGTGGCTTTCCTGTAGACAGTGGCTCATTGAGCCATTTAGTCTCTTTTCAATTAAAACATCCAAGAATGGTAGCTTGCTATCCTTTTCCACCTCCATGGTGAATTTGATGGCTGGGTGTACGGAATTTGTGGTTGAAAAATTGGTTCAGTGCTGACAGGCCATGTGGCCAGATATCGAACGTGTCATCTACATATCTCTTCCACAAGGAGGGACATAGGGTGGATGTCTGGATGGCTTTTGTCTTAAATTTCTCCATGAAAACATTCACTACCACTGGCGATAAGGCAGAACCTATCGGGGTACCCTCATTTTGTTTATAGAATGTACCATTCCAGGTGAAGTAAGTGTTGGTAATGCAGTGCCTCACCAAAGTTGGTACATCAGGATTCAGTCCCTGTTGGACCAAGTCTTCAATTATTGCAATGGTGTCAGGTACAGATACCTTGGTGAACAGGGAGACTACATCAAAACTGACAAGCAAATCATCTGGAGACATTGAGATGTCCTTGATTAGAAAAACCAAGTGAGCCGAGTTAAATACAGCTGAGGTGGTCTTGCCCGTGAAAGGAAGCAGGGTTTCAGACAGAAATCGGTCCAGTTTGTAGGTGGGTGAGTTAATGGTGGAGACAATAGGATGGAGCGGGGTACCTTCTTCATGGATTTTTGGAAGGCCATAACACCTGGGTGGTCTAGCAGCCTAAGGTTCTAGAGAGAGCTTAACTGGTTACTCTTTGGTTCTTTCGGTAAAGTCACGTATAAAGATAAAATAATAAATTAAATATTAGCATACGACGTTTCGATTGCAACACAAGCAATCATCATCAGGTATAAATGAAATAGCAACAAAAATCTAACCAGAAAACTATAGATAGACATATAAGCAGACAGATATCACCAAGATACATAGAGAGAGTAACACAGGCACAGAGAGGGAGATCGTCTCTGTAGCGAGGCCTTAAATAGACAGAGGGGGGGGGGGGGGGGCGGGGGCGGAGAGAGGGAGAGGTTAGAGAAAATATGAACATGTCAATGAGTGCGGCGACGCGTGGTCAATTACGCAAGCTTGAACATTAGGGAAGAGGGAGAAAGAACACACTAAATTAAATAACCTAGCAAAATATCGAAATGTTATGTAATACAACACAGAGAGTCGGTCAACACACAATTAACGCATAGCCTGGTCCTTAATCGCAGTAACAGTTCTATTTCTGAAGGTCTGAAATCCGTTTTAGCTAATGGACTAAACTTTGCAGTCACACCTAGACACATACCAGTTAATGATATAATTGCTCGAGTAGATGTAGCTCTCAAGGGCCTGAGTCACATCGCTGCAGACGTAGCAAGATCTGAAATCTCTGCAACCCTCAAAAACGCTAAGATGCCAGCTAGCAACATCAGCAAAGATGAGCGTTTTGAATTAGCTCAATTAAAAAAAAGAGGGATGACATTGTCATCCTCTCAGTCGACAAAGGCAATGCCACTGTCATCATGGACAAAACAGAATAAAACAACAAAATCCAAGAACTACTCAACGATGGCAGCAATACAAAAATAAAAAGTGACCCCACCAACAGCCTCGTCTCAAAAACCAAGCAAATCATTTCTGATTCAACCGCATTAATTGATCAGACCATACAGTTCTCGTTGAAACCTTCTGCAGCAAGGCCACCAAGATTATACGGCTTGCCAAAGATACATAAAGAAGATACACCTCTTCGTCCCATTGTCTCTACTATCAACTCCCCCACCTATAAATTGGCTCGTTTTTTGTCTGAAATCCTACGGCCTTTCACTAGAAAAACCACCTCTGCGGTACTAAACTCTACTGACCTGGTATCGACAATCAAGGGGATTGCCCTGTCCCCAGACGACCTGCTTGTCAGTTTTGATGTGGTTTCCTTATTCACTAAGGGTCCTGTACCTGACACCATCGCAATCATTGAAGACTTGGTTCATCAAGGACTGAATGCTGGGGTACCCCCCCTGGTGAGACACTGCTTAACCAATACATACTTCACCTGGAATGGAACTTTCTACAAGCAAACTGAGGGCACCCCAATGGGCTCCCCCCTATCTCCGGTTGTAGCCAACATCTACATGGAGAAATTTGAGACTGACGCCATCCAGACTGCCACTCTACACCCCTCCTTATGGAAGAGGTACGTAGACGACACTTTTGTTATCTGGCCACATGGCCGGCCTGCTCTAGACCAATTTCTCGACCACATCAATTCCATACACCCAGCCATCAGATTCACCATGGAAGTCGAAAAAGATGGCAAGCTACCCTTTTTGGATGT